TTAGGCTATGAGAAAAACCATGAAAATAAGGAATTACAGCAAAAGCTCTACCTTGAACCCTCTCAGCGGTCACCGACGCGCGTACAAGCAGTCTACGTGCACTAGAAACGATAAAATCCAAACTATAACCCGCTGACAGTAGACGTTTGGTTTGAACGTCGAAAGCGTTACCAACACAATGAGAACAAGATTTTTTCAGTGCACTGCCAATTAATGATCTCACCACCCCCCCTTTTACCAGTTTAGAATGAGCACTCCATCTAGAAAGAACCTTCTTTACGGTTTCCCTACCATAAGACCAACAAAGCCCCCCTTTATTAAATAGTTGCAAGTCCAAAAACTGTAACTTCCCATCTTTCGCTGATTCAGAGGTGAATTTTAATTCCGGTGCAGCGGTCAAAATAAAATCATGGATCTGAGTAGCAAAAAGCTGATTCGGAGCACAAACCAAGATATCATCAACAAACCTCCGAACCAGAAACCTTTCTCCATCCAAACAGCCAATAAAATTTGTTATTTTCTTGTCAAGAGTGTTAAGATAAAACTCAGTCAACACGGGAGCCACCGCCGAACCGATGCATACACCTTTCCGCTGTATATAACTGTCACCATTAAAGTTAATCAAAGTTGCCCTCAGATAGCACGTCAGAAGCTCCAGTACCGCATCTACAGAAATACCCGCTTTGGCCTGAAAAGAGACCAAATTATTTTCTAAAAGCTCCCTAACCCTTTCCAGCAACAACACGCTATCTAAAGAATAATACAAATCTTTGATGTCCAGGGACATCAACGTGCTATGGTATGTGCAACGTACGAGACTGTGGCTTAAATGTATTTGTTTTTACCCAGAACTGGCTCGGAGACTCAGTAGCCTTTTGAGGCCGCTGTTACCAACCGTTTTTTATAACAACCCACCCCTTTTTTTATTATTTGATATTATACACCGTACACCTGCTATTTGAATGTTTTACCCCCAACTTCGTTTCGCTAGTGTCGGACAGACACCCTAGCGGCCGCTGGGCACCGAGAGATTTGTGATGAACAAAAATATGGATACAGTCTGCAACGCGAGAGCTCTACAGCAGAGGCTCCGCCTTCTACTTTTCAAGAAAAAATTACGTCATTAGGACACCCAGTTTGGGCGCACGATTCCTACGACGTCACAGAAAGGGCGGAGCATCCGTCAGCTTTTCTCGTTTTTAAAGTTTACGCCCATTAAAAAGAAGCTCTGCTTTATGGCCCAATGCTCCTGGACGTTTTGGGCAATTTTTTTTTTTTTTTTATTGATGCAATAAAAGGAAATCAGAGATGTTAGCCGGGAGTACAATCTCCTGACTGGCTACTCTGGTGGGAAAGGGGTAAGGGATATAACAGAGTTAGGAAAGAGGAAAAGAAACATAAAGAACAAAAGAGACCCAATCACACATAACACGCACACAACCATTTGGACAAGATAGTTCAGTACATAGCATTAGAGTCTCTTATCCAGGCCTGTTGCTGAAAGAAAACGGAGGAGGGCCTTTGTGGTGTTTAAAGCACAGACTTCGCTGTTCCATGGCCCCAGGAAGTGCTGTATTGTAAGGGGTGGTCCGGAAGTCTTCCTAATGTCTTGTAAAAATTGTTTTCGCTGACCATCATAACTTGTACACTGAAGTAAAATGTGTTGAATATCTTCGACAGTTTCACATACGGAGCAGTTTGGGGACTTTAATTTCCCAATAAGATGAAGGTAATAGTTAGTGTAGGCGACCTTTAGACGAATCCTATGGAGAACTGCTTCCCGTCGTCTCTTCAGGCCTCGAGGTACTCGAAACCGTAAGTGCGGGTCAATATTTTTTAGAGAGGAACTTTGGTTGATATCCTCTTTCCAGAGGCTCATTGCGGCCGATTTCCCCAATATCGCCACTCTTGAACAGACGTCCGATTTTGTAAATGGAGCTAGGACTTTTTGGGCAGATTCGTGAGCCTTTGCAGCCATAGAGTCAGCTTTTTCGTTACCCATGACACCACAGTGACTGGGCACCCACTGGAATGATACGGAGTGGCCAAGGGAAACGATTTCTGAGTGGACTTTAAATATGTCTAAAATTACTTGTGTGTTTGGACTGTTTTTACGTAGACACTGAAGCGACTGGAGGGCAGACTGTGAATCGCTCATGATCGTCCAAGCGCGAGGTGATGCTTTTTTAATTTGTTGGAGCCCCTCTCGAATGGCCACCAGTTCAGCAGCCGTAGATGAGGTTTTGTGGGACAGCTTGTAACCAGCTTTGATATGAAGCACTGGGGCAGCCAGTCCAATCGATGACCCGTTATGCGTAGTTGATGCATCGGTATATATGTGGCAAGAAGAACGGTGCCGTGTATACAATAAAGACAGAAAAAGCTGCCGAAGGACAACTGAAGAGAGCGTCGATTTTTTTGTTATTCCAGGAATAGTCTTGTAGATTAGAAGTGGAGGCAGTGACCAGGGTGGTGTATCGAGTACCACAGGATCTTGAAACACTGTTGGAAGGACATCCTTGATAATTCAGTGGAGCGTCGTCTTTTTTGTCGTCGGGTGCTTTTTCTGCAGTTCTTATGATGCAGCAGTGTACTACAGTCTAAAGCCTGGTTCAGACAGTTGCGTTTGACTGCGTTTGACTGCGTTGCGGCAGCGAAAAACCAGGACATTCCTACTGCTTATATCGCGTGCCAACATGATTCCTTGAATTAGATTCCACGCTTCATACGAAGCACAGATGTGCCGGTGACTCGCTTTCGGTCCTCGACGCAACGCAGTCAAACGCACTCAAACGCAAGTGTCTGAACCGGCCTTAAGACCGTGTTTTGCGTACCGCACTACAGAAGCCTTTGAAGCGTGCTTTTAAGCGCGCTCCCGGAGTGATACCGTGACCGCGGGGGCCGCGCTTAAAAGCATGCCTCAAAGGCTCCAGTAGTGCGGTATGCGCAACACGGTAACGGTGTGCTAAAAGTCTCTATTATGTGTTTTATTCGGCGCCTTTGATCGGCAAATGACGGAGGTTGCGGGGGGATACACCCTATATTTCTTAAGTTGTCCCAGACTGTTGAATGTGGCAGTGCTGTGAATAACGATATGATATTTTTACGAGAAGTTGGGAAGCCGTTACGTCGGCTGCGTCCTTTGCCTGCTAGCGGGAATTCATAGTATACGGCGAACAAAATAAAATATGCGTAGGTTTTTTAGGGAGCGCGTACTCTCGGTGGTTTGGATCCTTACGGCGAAGATGGAAGTTCACCTGATAGTTTCAAGTGTTTAAAAAATACCGAGGATTTGGGATAGGATACCAGAAAGATAAGCTACATAAACAACTAATTAAATGCGGCTTTCTTGTTAACGAGAAAATGTTTCAAGCTGCTGACACGACATTCACCTATAATAACAACAACAACAAAAAGTGTCAGGGCGCAAGTGTATTATGCTGCATAAATTTTCATAGAACTACGAGTGGGTGGCACTAAGGTCACCGTATCTTTGAAACGTAGCGTCATTGTCTTCCCTGCCCGCTCACAGGACACAAACAGATACCGATGACCAAAAGTTCGCGAGGTAATTAGTTGATGTAGGAAAATTTATTGACACCCTACACTGCAAGACATAAAACACACCGGGAAACGGGCACACAATAAGAGCACGTACGCTGCCAACGTCCAGAAGCGTAAGTAACAAACATAACATAGAGAATCCAACATGGCCGCACTTTACATCTCGTCAGCACTCACAAGGAGGGCTCTCTCCTTCACCAAATAAATACCATATCGGTGCCCGTTGCCATGGCAATCGACATTTCGGCCCCTTCGTACGTTGGTCTTTTTAGACTTAGGCTATAGGTGGCGCAAGCTATCCCCCATTACAAAGTGTATAGCCATTAACATCCATCCATCCATCCACTCGCATCTTCGAAGCTTCGAGAGAATCGTTCTAAACCAGTCGCACCAAGATCGCCATGGAGCATCATCGTACTGAAGGCGTTCCTCGCCAATATGAGCGTCTTTGGCACTGTGTGTGCCCAATCAACTTATCGATCACGCGCATCTCCGCGGATCGCTTACAATTATATCGTTCTTCTTGCTCGTTAGAAGACAATACATTTATTTTTCACAGCCTCCAAACACCGACAACGTATGCATATGGAGTTGGTACAAAGATGTGCGCTTGTTTCGCCGGTGTGTTGATAGCAAAATCTCGGTATACAAACTGCCGAAACGTCTCTATTAGCGGCGAGATGTTTCGGTGGCGCCCTCATTCGGTTACCTTTCGTGACGTCATTACCTTGTGAACAACAAGCTCGATGGTGTTCGTAATAAGCATTCTGGAAGCCTGAAATTATAGCGCTCTCAAAGCAACACTGGCAACACCGTCAAAAGTGAAATTCTTACATTACTCTTATTTCCGTCGATGAGACATTCTTTGCTGACGTCATAGTCAGCATTCGGCCAATTGTGGTGGGCCGACCTCAGCGACGCTTTCGATCGCTCACGTCGCAGCTTCCGATCACCACCGAATCAATGTTGGCTCACAAAGAACGGAGTCTCATTTCATGAGCAAAAATGGCGACCATACGAGGAGCTTTCACTACTTTTTTAAGTATCCAGTGACCTTAGATGGCACAAGAAATGAGAGGGGGGGTTTACCGTACGCTTCGCCGAGTTGCGCGATAGAGTCGCGTGAACTGCCCGTGATGCAGGGCAAATATTGTGGCATCATGACTGCCGGAGCAGCGTCTATCGCCGTCTCAAGCATACAAGTGCGCGACACTTTGAAGCGAGCAGACGAGCAAGCCAGCAGATAAAAAATGACGCTCGTGCCCACTGCCCGGTTCTCGGCGGTGTTTTTTTGTGTGACTTCACTTCCGTGACCAAGTTTTTGTGACATCGACCTCCCAGCTTTGCACCCCCTCTCAAGCGCGAAAGAAAGACGTAGTTCTACTACAAAAAAAAAAAAAAAAAAAAATCTTGCGGGACACATGAGGAGCGAGGCGTAGGAGAAAAATAAAACGGTTTTATTAAAACAAACTTTAAAACAGTAACAACGGGGAGGAGGGGGGAAAGAGACGCTCATCCAAACTGTCTCAGTGCAGTGTGTCCCGCACTTTGAGGAGGGAAAGTGACTGGTCTCGTCTCACGGGGTAGACACCTCGAATTCGCAAGTGCCGCCGGCATACAACGTCTTGGCAACATTGGGCTGCAGGTAGTTTCCGTCGCCGCAGAACACGAAACTGAAAAAAAAAAAAAAAAGAAAGAAGCAAAACATATAAAAATTACTCTACTATCGTCCTGGTCAACTCTAATGTCGCGGTCGCTTTGCCAATGGATCATACGAGAGGCATTCTGAGGACACTGTCCGAGGGGCTTCTTCCCACTGTTGTGGACTTAGGCTAGGTGGCGCAAGCTACCGCCCGTTACAAAGGGTATAGCCATTAACATCCATCCATCCATCCTTGTATGGTGGTCCATAATTGGTTACACAAAAACTGTCCTCAGAAATGTTCGAATTATATTAATGTATTCTGCGTGTGCTTCAGGCGTGTCCGCAGCGAAGAACACAGCGTCTTTAGTACGATGTATGAAACATATGCAACCCAGATAATCAAACAAAACAAGTTTCCTCGATCAAAAATGGCCGTCTGTTGAAAAACGCTTAGACAAAGGCGCGGGCACAGAGAACGAGACCCTGGAAGTCGGCACTCTACCGAGGGTACACGCAACCCACTTCAAGGTTATCCTACGCAGATCTGCGAAGTCATCCTACACGTCGTAGGTAAAAGTATAGCTACGACGTATAGTCGTCGTGGATACTTTTTGATCCTCCACATCTTTGAAGTGTTTTGTAACAATAACGTAATATTTTCGCGGTAGTAAGGTCCCATATAATTTAATTAAAATAGTACAAACTATTTCGATCATTTTAGTTATTCGTTACCTTTATGACAATTCGTGATCGTTATAAGGTAATTAAATGAATATGAGCGTACAAAGCAACAATAAATGACATCGTGCAGTCTTATAAGCGACACCGGCACTATTGCAATAGACAGGGTGTCCTTAAAATAAATTCAGCGTTGATTTGTTTCACCGCAAAAACTAAACTACGCATCACCGAACGCTGATCCTCCACCCAAGTGCAGCGCTAGCGTTCCAAACCAGATGCCAACGTTTCCGAAGTAACCGTTATCCCAGCCAAAAGTTATATTATAGGTGATTATCTGAAACATTCAATGGGAAAATGGGACCCGTTTTTTTCCCGTTCTCGGCAACTGTCGCCATTCAGCTGCAGAAGTCCATCGTCCGCCGATTTATCATTCAAAATTTCAGAAAGTCGGTTAGAAGTTTTGAATAAATAAGCAGTTAGTTAGTTCTTTTTTTTTTTTTTTTACACTTTGACGTTGGATTTGAACCGGAGCGTTCGGTAATGCTTACATTACATTTGCGGTTAAAAAACAAAATTGTTTTTTGGGGGGAAGGGTGGTGTTTGTATGTCGAAACACCAATGACTTGTCTATTTATTGAAACATATAATTGTTTTTAAGGGAACTCCACATCCTAGAAATCTTTCAGTCCGTCCGCCCGTCTGTGCATATTTTTTTTAGCTCTAAACTCAGACGCAAAGTTAAATTGATGTATAATTATGCGCCAATCAAGGTAGTGTCACAGGTTACTTGGGAAGCGTTTGCCCGCAATGCTTAGGAGTGAAATTGACATCACGTGACACGACGCTACGTGACGTCTGGTTAGGTTAGCTCGCGGTATTGCGCGACACCACGATTGGACACAGGGACGTCACGACGCTTTACCACGTCGCGTGAGGTCGGGTCACGTGAAGTTACGTAATCACACGTAATGCCATCGAAACAAATTCACACCTCTTCCTAAAAAAACTGCACTCCCAGCATTACAGGACCTTGAAGATCAAATCACTGGCAATATGTTTTTATACCAGTATTCCTGGTTAAAACAAAGTGGAAGTAATGTGCAACGTTACGAGTAAAGCAATCGATTAGTTTCTGAAAAATGTATTTGGTAACAGTAATTCATCGCAATAAGGTTGAGTAGCTCTCGATCGTAACTTATGTCATTTTTAATTGAGGGGCATAAGTCCACGGCGACGGCTGTCTCGCCCTAAACCAGTAAAGTCAACACTCAGGGGTTTTTTCTCTGTCTTTTGTGTACCTTGTGAAACGTTAAAAACTAGTTAAAACGTTAAACCAACACGTTACTATTCTATTGGACGCTATTCCTCTAGATGCCATATTCACCAAGGACCGTAGTTGAGTGCGTTCCTAACAAATAGCTTACACAACGGTGATGTGGAACGTAGTTACGTTCAACATCGTCAGGATTCGCGTTCTGTGACGCTCTGATAGGTCCTAGCTTCGCTCACCTCTCTCCCGTGGCCAGGTTGCGTACCCGGACGTAGTTAAGGAAGAGCCTGGGCTGTCCCACGTTCGCCTGCTGCTGCTGCTGCTGTTGTGGCTGCTGTCCGTACAACTGGTTCTGGTCAGCGAACAGCGGCACCTGGTCGGGCCTCCACTCCAGGTCCAGGCGGATGATGCGTCCAAGGTCGCCCGACGTCACCAGGAAGTCGACCTTCTTGCCGGACGTGTAGTCGTCGTAGCGCCTGCGTTATCAATTAAAAACTGTTCTGTTGCTATTCAAGATGGATTTGGAAAGGGGGGGGGGGTGTTTGGACCCCCCAAACCCCCCTCCCCCCCCCCCTTTCCTCTGCCTACGCCACTGACAACGTACACAGACACCAAACCATGTTTTTTTTTTGTTTTTTTTTTTTTTTTGTTTTTTTTTTTACCGTTTGACGATTCCTTGTTCGAAGTCTGAGAGGTCGTCGGGCAGGCGAAAAAGAGAACTTCGACCGATTCCCCGACTCAGCGATCACCCTCGGTGCTAAATGTGCCGAGAGCCGCGACGCCGCCATGTTTTCCGAGGGAGGAAAAAAAAGCAGGAGGCGACATCACTATATATAGTAAACGTGGCCACTTAAGCCCGATATCAGAGCCCAGCTTGTTATGATTCACAACACCCGCTAGCAAGCGCAGTGATGCCTATCCATTCTTTATATTTGTGCTAATAAGAAATGGATTTACCTCGATATCCATATTTCTAAAACTGCTATTAGTAGCTTCGAACATTTCAAAAAATAGCACGACTACGACTGGGGCTTGGGCAAGACTCACGACTTGGCAGCTGCCATAACGTCAGCCAACGCGGGCGGCGGGGGTCGGATGCGGCGTGTGGTTGCTGTCATCGTGTCGAGTTCCCGGCGTTCTTTCGTTCTGGAGAAGCTGAGACGGTCAAAGCGCAACCACGTGGAGAGTGTTTCGAACCTCTCTCTCGGGCGTCAGCTGCGTCGTCGAAAATTGCTCTTTTCTGTTTCCCATAAATGCGTGCGAGGTGGCGCTACAAACACGGATATGTGTAAAGCCCCTCGATGTGTTTGCGTTTGTCTTGCAAGTAGCGTCAAATGCGCGAGTGCACGAGGCCCATGTCTCGAGCGGCCCTTGGAAGCAAATGGCGGCGGAGCACCCGCTCATGGCACGTGTCTCGCGCGCTTCCACAACAATGGTTGGCGGTACTTGTAAAAAACGCTTTTATCAAGGGGCTTTAGGATATGTGTGGCGAAAGTGTATGAAGGCTCCCTAGAACATGTTGTCTTGAACGACGCTTTCACTTCACGAGCGTGCGTGCATTAGAGGTTCGTTTGAAGCGTCGAGCTCGCTCTCGTAGCTCCCCCTTACGGTGAAATGGAGCACACATTTCTACGAACGCCTGCGGAACAGTTCTCTTTGTTATGGTTGTCTTTGCGGTCCGTAAATGCTCTTGCAGTACTCGAGTTTCTCGTACAGTTGTTCCCCTCTTTCTTACGTTGAGTAAAGCGGTTTTAATTTTATATTGCATATTGTACACGGTCTGCTCTGGAATTCAAAATTTACGCGTGCATTTTAGCAGGCGATTCCTAACTAAATTCAAGGTTTTCCTTAGTCACGGAAGACTAGGTGGCCCAAACTACCGCCTAATACGAACGATATCGATTATGCTGGTTATGTCCACCCATTCGGATGGCAGCCGTTCATGTCTCTAGCCATGTATAGTGAACGGAGGCACCTAAACAGGATGCCCAGACAACCCGGACCAACTTCGCAACAGCCGGCCGCTTGGTGCGCTAACAGTCAAGTGAGCCGCTGGTGCCTACGGGAGTAACAACTCTTTACGTTAGTATATTACTCTATGACGTTACTACGGACTCCGACTTTCGCTATTTCAAAAAGAAAGGACGCAGTGCGTTGGCAACTGGTTAAAAAAATGTTTTACGAATCTCGTTATTCAGTATTATAGAAATGTCGCTTACAAAGCTTCTAACTTTTATAAACGATTACGTCACAAATAAAAAGAAGCGAGAAGGTGAAAAAAAAGAGAAATGCGCAAAAAATTAAAAAAAGGGGCGTGTGCATAAAGATTTTTTTTTTTTTTTGCGTTGTGGTATTTTTTTTTTTTTTTGCGTTTTTTTGATCACGAATTGCATCGTTTTAGACAACAAAGAAAAAATGCGACCTTTGGGAGTCAGTGCCCCTTCAATAAGAGATCGGTGTTTCGCCAATGTTTTATTACTTTCTTGGCACATTATAGTCAGTCGGAGAGGTAAGTTATTGTCTTCTGAGGTAAATAAATGATGAGCGGTCATTATTAGTATTATTTGATAATACTGCCGGCGAACTTCTGAAGGCCGTGGCACGGTGTGGACAAAAATATCAAATCATTAATGAACCAGATGAACACTCACAAGCATAAAAAAAAGTGACTTAGTCGTCTGTCCTCCCCCAACAATACACGGCAAAGTAATTCAGTGCCTCGACATGATTCTTCACATCGTGAATGAAATGTATAAGAAAATAAGAAACTATCCAACACGCCGAGATGCGCGTATTTCGGTAACCGGTACTCAAGGGTAACTGTCATCTCTTACATTTTTGTTCAGGTTTTGGTAAAGAACATAGTACCCACTGTTAACATTAAAAAAAAATAAAAAATAAAACGGCGATTACATTGTTAGTGTGATGGACGGCTTTCTGTTTATATTTTAGAATCGAAAATGAATAATTAAAAGTGAAAAAAAAACTAACACGCAGTATTTCTTTTTACGTAAAATGCGATGAACAAACCAATCACGTGCTCCTGCTATTAGTGTCGCACAGTGTATGACAGTTGAAGTTCACGAGTATCGCCTTTACAGCAACGATACCATGAAACCGGGTATTTCTCGCCCACCTCGTGATCGAGTCAGCCAGGTATCTGGTGGGTTTGGAGCCCTGAAGGTGGACGAACAGCGTTCCTCGGTTGCTGTGCTGCTTCCTCGTCTCATCTGTGCTGGCAACCGTGGCTTGGATGTGGTACTGGTTCCCTGAAACAAACAAAAAGCCAGCTGGTTCCTTCAAATAATTTTTTTTTTTTGCAGGCAGAAATGGCGTGTAAAGCTGCAGCCATGGCAGCGTGTCAAAAAAAAAAGCAGAAAAAAAGCTTTCTTTTTTTGTGTTAAAATGAATTACGCATCGCCCAACGATGCGTAGTTATGACTAGCATCGTTGGGTGATGCGTAGTGTGTATATGACGACGTGGCTTCAGCTGTTCGCTCACGGCAGAAGGGTGACGATCCGGCGGTGGTGAGGAACATGCGGACGCTCCTGCGGGCGTCGGCGAAGCGCCTCCAGTCCACGGCCCGGAAGCCCATGGGCGCGCACTGCATGCCGTCGGCGCCGCAGCCCGTGCTGCAGGCCCCCGTGGTGAAGTTGTCGTAGCCGTCGCACGCGTAGCCGTAGAAAGGGCAGTCGCTGTTCACGGACTCGACGAAGTACTCGTACGCTCGCACATCCGGGCAGCTCACGTAGCGACGCACTCCTGCGGGGAACCAGGGATTCGTCGTCGGCGACGTCAACGGTGACGTCATCGGGGAACGAGGGGAAGAAAGTGTGCAGTCAACGAATGTTACTCTGAGAGGCTTCGGTCGAAGAAGAGACACTGCCATTCATTTTAATTAATGAGTGAGTTTGTTTGTCTTTCTTTAAACACTCGCATAAAGAAGGATAGGTCCTTCATCGTGATGTTTAAAACCCGGGAGTGTGGTAAGGGAAAAAAGGGAAAACTTTGAAGTCGAAGAAACAAGGCACAGGAGGAGACGGTGAAGGCCGTGCAGCTTTGCTTCGAAGTTTTCAACTTTTTTGTCCCTTTAACTATCACCAGCTCGCCTACGCGCTCACTGACTTTTCATTAATAGATCCTTGCAAGGTAAAACGGCGCAAGAAACGGCACACAAGAAACAAGGAAGGCAAAGACACAGCGCTGACTTTCAACTGAAAATTGAAAGTCAGCGTTGGAAAGTGTTCACAAAAAATGCGGGACTGTCACACATTTTTGTTTCTCCTCACCTATATTTTTTCGCATAATCCTGGTTGAAATGTTTTATTATTTTTTGTTTTGCGAACCAGATACGGAACCCACGTGACTGTGAACCAAGGGAAACAAAAAACTTCTATAGGTGTGGCCACCACGCGCGCCGCAGCTGCCAGATAAAGTCCTTTCTTCGCCTTGGTCGCAAGCGGCGCCACCAGGTGGCTTCTCGAGATGCGGCTAATGGCTAATGACATGGTGCCCGGTTTCCCACGCTTTTCTATGAGAGGCATGCTTGTTTTTAAAGTCGTTTTCTGGGTGCGCCACGTCACCTAGAACTCGGCACTTGCGCTGCGCGTGTTCCTTAGGCACTGCCTAATAGTCATTGATCCTGGTTTTGTCCCTTGACGACGGCAATGACGGTGTTATAAACACGTTGAAGCGGAGAAATCTCTGCCACGTTGTTCAAGCTAGCGTCCGTCAAGGTCAAAGTAGACACCCCAAACTGAAAAAGCACGTGCTCGAATGCCATAGAAATTAGAGACTTTTTTTTTTCTTTTTTTTTCAGTTGCGCCGTTTTGACGGCGGAGACGCTGTCCGCTGAAGGCTACTTGGACGCGCGCCAATAGGACATTATCTGGTCGATCGCGTCACAGCGTTCGCCGTGCTGTGTGTCTTCACCAATTTATATCTTACACCGTGTCCTCGCCCCCCCCCCCCCCCCTTTTTTTCCTCCGCACTTCACAAGCTTTTCCGAATATGTGGCCAGGGCGGCACGTTAATCTGTTCAAAGAAAAAGAAATCAAGTTGGAAAGGATTTTTAAATATTTCCTATTGTTACAATGTAACAGTCGGTTTTATAGTTATGCATGCCGGAGTTACCCCATGCGGAATTTCGCCCCTTTCAGATAGCACCAAACTGGACCAGCTCCTTTTGACGCTGACTGCACAGTGAACGAATGTTGTTCCGGTGAACTTTGATCGCGAGGAGAAATACTCCTGCTTATCCTAACGAAATATGTTGATTCTTTTTTTTTTACAAAGTACATTTAGGGGAACACGAATGATAAATGACGTACGTATTATCTAAGTATTTTATTCGTGGTTCTTTTTCTTAATTGCGCGGCTTTTGCCTGAATTTCGCGCTCCGATTTTGTTGAATGTAAATCAGAAAGAGGGAGAGAGAGAAAAAAAAAAGTCTTGAGTGGCCTGAGAAAAAAATATTTCGGATTCAGGGAAAAACAGATTTGCGAAAATTAAAATACACAAGTTCTTTCCCAAGGAAAAACAAGAGTTGAGTATAACTTTCTAATTCTAAATATAGAAGATTGAAAAATAAGCGCATGTTTTGACGGAAGTTACGTTATTTGAAACTTTCTCATTGAGAGTATATTAGAAGAACGCGCAACGCATAAACACGCGTAAACACGAACTCTTTGGAGTCCTGTCTTCTCGCCTTTCAAAAATTGTAAATCTTACATTGAAGCATATCGAAGTACTTCATCAAGGAGTTCACATCGGTGTACTATATACAGAGTGATAGGTTTTTTTTGTTTTTTCCTTTCTTTTATTTTTTTTTAATAAGGACTAGTACTTAAAAGAATGTGTTAGGTTGTTTAGTTGATGTTTTCTTTAATTCGCAGGCTAAGTTTGGCGCAGTGAAGTAAGACGAAAGTGGTTAATTACTTGGATAACTAAAAATATTTGACATACTTTATAAACTTTCACTTTCTGAGGCATAATGTAGTTAGAAAATCGACGCCCGACCTAGCAGCGACATGAAAATGTTAATAAAAATATGAAAAGTCCAGTGTGAATTCATATCAACAGCTGCGACACTTAATCGAACCCTAACGTATTCTTATATATGTATCTTGCACTGGTGTATTTTGTGCCTAACGTGGAGGAGCCGTCGCCAATGTCTGCTCTGAAAGTGACACAACCACCTGTGACTATAAAACAATCTTGATTCTAGATAGATGCCACGTGACTGCTATAGAGCAGTCACGTGACTCCGTGACGTCACGTCGTCACGTGACGATATTGACAATGGACGCCCTACACCATCAGTTTGAGTGGGAGGCCCTCGAAAGCTATCTCTGTAAAAGTTGCTAGTGGGCGTTTCGCAACAAGAAATGGAATCCTCGTATACATGCACTTCGAACCGAAACTAATTCGCAGAGGCACACCGGTGACGTTGATACCTGTGCTCTCCGAAGGGCTCCAAGGGTTACAGCCGCACTTCCGCGGGTTACCACACGTCCACGCAATAGACCCTTTTTTCGAAAGTCAGTGCCATCTGATGGCTCAGAAATCAGTTTCACTTTCGACATAGTAATGGCGGCCGCGAAACTGTATTTCATCAAGCACCGTCACTTTCGCACGTCACTGGAAGATGAAAATTGGTTCTTTGGTCACGTCATACTTTTTTTTTTCTTCTTGATTTTCCTTCACTTCCAATGGTGTGGACATAAGAACTGACCCGTACAAAGCGGATCCCGCGATTGAGAGATTTTAGAACCAAACTTGTGCCAAGAGATTGATGGGATTACACTTCGAAATAAGCGCTTTGGCAGCCGTTGTATCTGCTTCGCACATCGTGTTGTACCGACATCTCGAACCTATCCTCCGCTTGGTAGTGTCTTCAAGTTCTTCCTTCATCGGCCTTGAGAAGGCCGCCATCAGTTGGGCACAGATGCCAGACATTGGGACGCTAGAGTGATCAAAGTCGAATTTGTGCAATCATGAACACGTGTGCAATCGGTAAACCGTCCTCCGTCCATACCGATTCGCAATCGGCAGCCTTCCTTCCGCGTAGACAACGTCGCCCTTTGCGGAAGCACTTACCGTAGACCCAGCTCTCCCGCTTGACGTATCCCTGGCCAGGCTCGTCGCATTCCGCCGGTCGGCCTCCGTTCGGGTAGAAGTCCAGGTGACCGTAATCTTGGACCGACTGCGGGGCTACAGGGAAACGGGAAAGAATGTCTTAAAAAGCAACCGTCGCACTGCTCGTACCTCGTACAAAAGACACGGCGTTCCCTGCAGGCATGATGACAGATTGTCTGCTTCAAACATATACGCAGACAGCTTTTTTTTATATGACCAATAGGCAGTTTTGGGGAACCGTTTTTGCGCATCCGATACGGTACGATGGGCCCACCGGTACGAGCTGCGCATGCGCTATACCACAGACGACTCGCATATGCGCAATTCGTACCGGAGGGTCCATCGTACCCTATCGGGTGTGCAAAAACGGTTCCCTAAAACTTCCTATTTCCTGAGGCGTGTTTCCCTTATGTCTGCAGACTGTCTTTGGTATATTTTATTGGCGGTGCGAGCGCGGCCTTGGTGCACACTAGCTCGAACAATCAGTGGACAAATGCTGTCGGCGTTCTAAAAAGAAAAGTAACGTATGGTGTAACTTGAACGGAAGTTTAGACAAGGGGATGTCTGCTTTAGAACGGCGTCTGGTGTCTTCCCTGTTGAGGGTATAATTTGGAGAGTGGAGTATAGACCATCCCAATGACCGCCCTATTGCTCCTCTGTCCACTGGGGTTGCGGGACGCGTTCTGGAAGTAAGCAGACAAGATCTCTCTGCAGGGAAACAGCAGACGCCGCGCGTCCACGGCCCGGTGACAAGGCATTTTTCGCTAAGTCATATGCACTGGGAAAGTGTATGATTTAGTGCTCTTTAATGTGCATCACGCAATGGTAATCGTGCGATCGCATGTGGCAGAATATCCGTTAACACAAACACGGGCAACAGCTTTTCGTCCGGTATTGTTATTTAATTTGAGAATGGCAGTATACTTTTAACGGCGTGCTCAAAGCCTGCGAATAAAAACGTGAGACCCCCGATGTCATAACCAGCTCTTTTGTGTGTACGCGTGTGGTTCGCTTTTATTGACGGTCGGTCGTCAATAAGACTTATACCCCACTCAGACGGTCTACTTTATAGTGCACTTGAGCTCACCGAACGTCACGTCGAGTACTTCGGTGCCACATGGACAAAAGACTAATGTCACTCGGAAATTATGGCAATAACGATGGGTAAGGTATTATTAGACGCGTAAAATGTTAAAGTCAAGGCCTAAATGTCTCTCCAATAATTTGTCTATTTAATGAAGACACTTTACAAAAAAACATTGCATAATGAACGATCATTACGCCAATGGGGTGATTCTGTTCGATCATCGCAAGGCAAGATAAAGAAGAAGCAGATTCAACCTTGGCGTTCCGCTTCGTCCCACGAAGGTCTACGAGGAGGCCCTGACACTGCCTTATGAGTTCATAATTATCGTGTTGTCTAGTACATGAGAAGACATGATTGCGCTTTAAGACAGGGACATAGGAAGAACAGAAACCACAGAGCGCTATGGCGTATACAGACTATTCTAAAATTTAGCGCTCTGTGGTGTCTGCTCTTCCTATGTCCCTGTTTTAACGCGTAATCATGTTTTCTCACGTACAATACCAACTCGCCCAACAATCAGCACTTGTTTCGTAGAGCTGCATGCTGAAACACAAGTAGGCTCTATCATTTTCTGCTAACCAAGATAATATTGGAATTATTTACTTTGCCGTCGTCTTTCCTCGGTTTACGGCGGCGCTACTCTTGTACAGATCAACCTAAACTGTAAGGCCGACTATATATATATATATATCAGGGTGTCGAACCGGAACCGAACCGAACCGAAAACCGGAACCGAACCGGTATTTTTTCCGGATCTGAACCCGAACCCGAACCGTTATATTGTTATCGCGATGAACCCGAACCGGAACTGAACCGGAAAAAAAATAACGGTTACCGGCTCATGCCAAAACGGTTCGGCCACGCGCTGTTGACAATGAATGTGCTATCAATGCCATTTGTTTTTTAAGTGCCGTCAACTGACGCACACCTCGCTTACATATTTTTCTTCTCCACTCAGTCTTAGGAATATAAACGCTGCATCCATGAATCTTGACAAACGCTGCATCCATGAATCTTGACATAGGAACCAGTATTGCGCTGGTCGCGGCTTGCACGGAAAAAAAAGAATTGGAAAGCTGTGCAAAAAAAAAAAAAAAAAATCGCGTCACCGGATTTCATTTTTCTACAGTCTCGTAAATCCTAAATGCTGCTGTGTGCTCATTTCAGAACACCTTTCTAGAACGCGCGAGTTCTTGAAGCTTGCTTCCATCGGAATGAGAAAAGAAGGCTGTGGAGTTTGATAATAATGCATCCGGTTTCGTATAGGCACTTAGAAGCTAACATACTTGTGAGACAGCGAGCTCTTCTATTTTAATATTTATCCTATTACGCACTTCTGGCGTTGCGTTCGGTGAAGTGTTTTTTTATATTCCGTATCTTGTTTAATGAAAACTTCTTTAAAGGTCTAATTTGAGTTACCGAAGGCTAGTTCAAATAAAGAAAGCTGTATTTTCTCCCCACTGTTCCTTCAATTGCTTACACGCCGAGGTGGCGGGATAGTTAGCGAGTTCTACTTGTGAGTGGGTTTGTAAGGAGGTCGCGGATTTTACGGCTACTGCGTCAGACCCAATTAGATGAAGTCCGAATGAGTAAACGTCGGTGAGGTAACCTTTGAGTGCACATAAAGAAACCATTCCTGGTAGAAATCCCTGAGCATTACACTACGATGTATCCCGTTTCGTATGTGCTGATTTCAGATGTTTTATTTGTAATTTATTTTGATGTTGCAATTTGTCATTTATAATTTCTGAACCGGTTCGCGAACCGGTTCAGCGCCCCGAACCGGTTCGCGAGCCGGTTCGCGGATCAAAATAATCGAACCGGAACTGAATCGGAACAAAATAAATTTACCTGAACCTGAACCGTAACCGAACCCGTATTTTTTTTCGGTTCGACACAATGATATATATATATATATATATATATTTGCAATGACACTCTTTTTTTCATTTTTATTACAACTTTTTAATTATATTTTTTTAATAAAGTTTACGCAACGTTCTTGGTTTCTGTTTTGTTAAGCTTTACTGTTGAAACACTGCAATCGAGGCCATGCCCTCAATCGAGTAAAGTGAGTTTGTCAAACTCACTTGAAGCCAAGCGTGTTCTTCGAGAAGGAGTCGCGTGGCGCACTACAGAAATGACACTAAGGGCGAAGTGCACTTGGTTGAAGTGCACTAAATTAGCCCGTCTGACTGGGGTATTAACCGTTATTAAGGCGCCCAACGACTGAGTGCGCGCGCCGCGACGGCAAGCCCGCGACGCTTAATTTATTCAAGGCTTTCTCTTCACGAGCTCTTTAAGAGTCTCGACAAGTAAGTAAGACAAGATTTGGCGCAAAGCCGTTACATAAAAAAAAAAAAGAAACTGAGCAAGAAGTTGCGTAAAATGACGCCGCGGACTCCGCCCAGTGCGTTGTCCCCATACCGCTTACAAGACAAGGCCTGCACCTTTACCCCTCCCTCAAGTGACGATAGCTTTCTGAACAAACTTCATGACGTAATCAGTACAGTGACTTTGCGATCTCCCACACCAAACGTCATCCTTCTGGGTGATTTTAACTATCCAAATATTGTGTGGTCGGCGGAAACAGCTTACTCAAGTCCTTTTTCGTCTGACAGTGACAAATTCCTCAATTTATGTTCGGACTACAATTTCTCTCAGCTAGTGTCTCGCCCCACCAGAATTACGCCCTCCTGTGCCTCAGTGCTAGATCTTGTATTGTCAACCTTCGCCGACCTTGTTTCTCCTATTACCTATCTGCCTGGTTTTAGTGATCATTTATTGCTGCATTTCACCTTAAATATAACCACAAGTCATCCCCCGAAAATAGTTAAAACGATTCGTGATTACGGAAAAGCTAATTTTACGGCTATAAATATTGAATTGTGTGAATTTCTGAGTTATTTTGTGGAAAATTTTTTTGAACGGTCTGTAGATGAAAATTGGTGTCTGTTCCGAAACAAAGTGAACTATCTAATAAGCACATATATTCCTGTTCGCACATTATCATCCAAAAGTAATTCCCCTTGGTACAACACCAGACTTAAACGACTTTCAAATAAAAAGAAACGCCTCTTTCGTGTAGCCAAACTTTCAAAACAAGAGAGTCATTTTAACGCCTATCATTACGCCGAGCAGGAATATAAACGTGCAGTATTAGAAGTAAAACGCAATTTTTTTACTAACACGTTGCCCACAATTTTATCTACAAATGTTCGCCACTTTTGGAACTTAATCAAACCTAATGATAACCACGGTGAACTGAAGCTTACAAACACAGATGGGGAACCAGTAGGCCATGATGAGTGTGCATCATTGCTAAACGATATATTTATTCAATCTTTTTCTTGCACCGATGTTTCTGTGTACCCCAACTTTAATTGCCCTGACTTTTTTCCAATGAATCCAATATTAATATCATACGACGGTATAGCTGCAATAATTAATAACCTGAAGCTCTCCTCTTCATCCGGTATTGACAATATTAACTCTAAATTCTTAAAGAACACGAAATCGTATTCATCAGCTATACTATCAATGATCTTTAAGCAATCATTGGAGGAAGGCTGCCTTCCCGAAGACTGGAAAGTTGGAAAGGTGACTCCAATTCATAAAAGTGGCAACCACTCCTCACCGAATAACTTCCGGCCAATTTCTCTAACATCCATTCCTTGTAAGATACTCGAACATATCATATATTCTAACCTCGCATGTTTCCTAGAATCGAATTCTTTTTTTCACCCTACTCAACACGGCTTCCGCAAATCATTTTCCTGCGAAACACAGCTTTTACTTTTCACTAATAAGCTTCATTCTGTCCTTGACCGTGGCTCCCAGATAGACTGCGTTTTCCTTGATTTCTCTAAGGCCTTCGATAAAGTTTCTCACCGGCTACTCCTATTAAAACTTAGCAACCTCAATATTGATCCGAACGTGCTACGCTGGATAGAATCGTTTTTAACCAACCGTTCTCAATTTGTGCATG